TATCAAACGGGTCCTCTGTCTTGCTGTAATCCCACCCCATACCATAACGCTGCCGCCCCATGACACAATGATTGACGTAACGTTCACCTCGACGTCGGTACACTCGAATCCGTCCATCGCTGTGAATGAGTGAGTGAGTATGGTTTTACGCCGCTTTTAGCAATATTCCAGCAATATCACGGCGGGACACCAGAAATGGGGTTCACACATTGTACCCATGTCGGGAATCGAACCCGGCCATCGCTGTGGCTGGGGTGAAAACGAGACTCGTCAGTGAATAGAACTTGTCCCCACTGCATGGCCGTCCAGCGTAGACGCTGTCTGCACCACTGTAGGCGTGTTTGACGGTGGCTTTCTGTCAAAATGGGACGCCTGGTGGGTCTTCTGGCGACAATCTGAGGCGACGACGTACGGTTTGTGAAGATATTCGTCGAAGGCCAGGGATGCTTCTTGCAGTCACTGTTGCTGGCTGGAATCGATTTCGTAGGTGTGTTGTTCGAATCCAGTTGTCTTGTCGATTATTGGTTACGCGTGGCCTGCCACTCCGAGGATGGTCTGTGACTGCATTCGCCTGTTGAAAACGGTGCCATAAACACCAAACGGTGTTTCCGTGGACGTTATATTGTCTTGCAACATCACGTTGACTCGATCCTGCTTCAAGCATACCAAAGGCTCGCAGACGCTCATTTTCGGACAGGCGTGGCATTTCGTAATGTTGAATAATTGGGTAATTTTGTTGTTTTTCTGAGTGGTTGTTGTCAGCACGATGCTAAACAATACATATGGAATCCCGTTAACGCACATGTTTTTATACCCATTCTTGGGTAGTGAAATGCATGGGGCTTGCATAAAAGTCAACTTTTGCATGGAATGAATGCTTTTCTGTAGCAGTTGCGTTTTTGTGACTTGATTCCATACATGTACTACAATATTGAAAACTAAACTTTACTTGTTTGAAAAATACACTACAATATTGGTGTCACAGGAACTTTTGTTGTTGAGTATAGCTGGAATATTGCAGAGTGCGGCGTTAAACAACAACAAATAAAAAAGAAATGTTGTTTAACGCCACACTCAGCAATATTCCAGCTATATGACGGCGGTCTGTAAATAATCGAGTCTGGACCAGACAATCCAGTGAGTGACATCATGAGCATCGATCCACGCAATTGGGATTGATGACATGTATCAACCAAGTCAGCAAGCCTGACCACCCGATCCCGTTAATCGCCTCTTACGACAAGCATAGTCGCCTTTTCTTGCAAGTATAGGTTGCTGAAGACCTATTCTACCCCGGATCTTCACGGTCCTAAAAGAAACAATGTAACATTGTAATATAGCATGAGCATGAATATACATTAACTCAATACGGGTCAAGTAATGAAAAGACCCCGAAAGGATAAAGCTGTTGTTATTCATTAACAAGTGTCACGTATTCACCATTTGTCAAATTTTAACTCACTCACTCATCATCTGTCATGTTTGGGTTTGACTATACACCCCGGAAGTGGAGAATACTCCGGGGGGATAACTCTGTCGATGTTTCCTTATGGGTTTTTGATAGACCATATACCGTTTTTGAAGATATTTTATGTAAGCTTCAATAACTTCAATAATCATTGGCGGAATATTTCGTGAAGATGATTCCTGATCAGGAAATTGCATGGTTGATTTGCGCGAGGATTGAACCATCTCCATGGTAATAATATTGTTCAAAGGGACCTCAACTTAGAAAACTTTTTATTAACTAAGCGAAAATATGACGAACCACTATGTACAATACCCGACTATGGTTGTGCAAGGATTACTTGATCGTCAACTGGTACATTTTCTTTTAATGACGAAGAATGTCTTGCGGGATAACTTTAAAACAAACTCCCAAGAAGTTAAGCAGTAATGTTACTAGTCATGCGAGTTATTAGGGATAACCTGTATGTAGTACATCAATAGGTTTCTGAACAAATTTTCACATGTGGATGAGGGCGTGAGAGTGCTGTGGGTGAGTGAGAGAGTGAGTTGGGTTTTACGCCGCTTTTAACAGTATTCCAGTTATATCACGGCGTGTCAGCTTAATGTGGGAGGAAAGCCCAAAGTGATGCAGGTCTCAGACGTTTACCACTTCGGTGAAACCCACGAGCACGGGTATGGTGCTGACAAACCTAGAAACATAATCGGGGCGAACCGGGATTCTAACCCACAATCATAGGTTTCTGGCGTGCCCAAGGGACGCAACTCTGCACAGCGAATCGCGGCGCCTTAGACGACTGGGCCACCCGTGCCCCCGGGAAATGACAATGAATTGCGTATAGCTAACGAATACCACAGGTTACCCATGGAGTGCAGCTCAAGAAGTGAAATATTGGATAATGCTTGGTGACTTTAATGCCCACAGTCCTTCACGGGAAGACAGAAATTATTCTTGCAAATACGGCATTCACACACGTGCCCCCGAGAGTGCTGTGGACTTTACAAGACAAGCCAGTCAGATTGATGGATTTTTTGGCGATTATAATGTAGTTTGTTGTCTGCGATTGTAAAGTTTAGTTTTGTTCATCTTTACTAATTTATGTCATGCTATTTTGGGATTAATGGCTTCGATAAATAAATGCTACTTTCCATAAACTGTTATTATGTGTAATATGAATAATTCACCAGTATGTCTTAATAATCAATCTTTAGGACATGCTTGATATATTTTTTATTTGTATTCCTGTTTGGTATGACGCGGTCGGGGATCGAACTACCGACGTACCGTTTTCCGGGCAGACACTCAATCCGCTACACCACGAAGGCGGCATCACGGGGGGGTCATTGTGAAATATCTTCTGTAAATGCCGTTCACCATCGTGCTTTGACATTTTTCTTAGGGTTGGGTATATACCTTCCAAATGTTGCTGTTAATGGAGATATAGGATGGATTCCTCCGATAGTTAGATAGTGGATGTGTATTGTTAGACAGTATTGTCGTTTTACTAAAATGTCCCTTAGATTAAATAAGTATGTTTATATTGTGAACGTTATGCTGTTGGACGTGTGAAAAACTGGTGTTTTCGTGTGAGGGCCAAGCTGAACGAAGGGGGTCTGAATATTTCTGAGAATGTTAGCGTGAAAAGTGTAGTTGTACGTGTGCAAGATATATGCATGGGAAAGTAGGTGTCTAATTGGAATGAACTGTTATGCAAGCCGGCGGAAGAACGGGTGGTAACAAATTACGTACGTATAGAATGTTTAAAGATGGGTATGGATGTGAAAGTTATGTAAGTATGTATATGCCTCGTTCTTACCGCTCTGCCCTCTCCAAATTTAGATCAGGTACTGCTCCTCTGAAGTTGGAAACAGGCAGATATACGAATATGAATGTTAATAAAAGAGTGTGTTTTGAGTGTAAGGAAAGTATTGAAGATGAATGTCATGTTTTGCTTGATTGCCCTGTGTACGATAATTTGCGTGAAAGTTTATACGAAAAGGTCAGTTTTAGCCTTCCCAACTTTCAAGAGTTATGCAATACTGATAAACTTATTGTACTTTTTAAAATATTCTGATATTTTACAGCCAAAACCTGCTTTTTAATACTCCAACGAAGAAAAAATATTTGATATGGCTAGTTACGGGTAGTATATTTTACATACCCCTTTTACACTAATATATTTATGATGTACATACTGTGATATATTTTAAGTCTCTCGTAACCCTTAACGGTTGGCTCAATTTTTATGCCCTTTTATATGTTTCTATGTAAATATTTTTGTGAGGTGAGACTCAAATAAACAATCTGTCTGCCTGTCTGTTTGTCTGTCTGTCTGTATGTCTGTCTGGAAGCTAAATGGTGCAAGAGCTTTCAGCAATCGATTCAGCCAAAGCAGGACATCAACCGGGATGTCACGTGTGAGGAACGAATAGATCATCCTCAGCATATCGAGTTATCCGTTGTTCGAGATAAGCTTGGTGTGGAAAGTCGCCCATAGTGCTGACAAGGTGTCTGCAGGAACTATAATGTTACATCGCCCTGATATTACATCAAGTAAAAGGTTTCGACTTTTATTTGACGAAACAATGTTGTCATATCGTTTATTGTTTCCTTAAAGTATCAATTGGATTATTGATAATTGTAGGGCGGTGGGGTGGCGTAGTGGTTAAAGTGTTGGCTCGTCACGCCGATGACCCGTGTTCGATTCCCAGCATGGGTACAATGTATGGAGCCCATGTCGGACGTTTCCGCCGTGATATTGCTGGTATATAGATAAACGCGGCGTAAATCCATCCTCACTCACTCACTCACTCACTCACTCACACATCTGATGATTGAAGTCCTTTATGATCGTCTGTCGATAGGTAAAGTCCCATTCACCCAATCAAATTATTTGAAGACAATTTATAAACAATGCATGGCATGGGATCATTGTTTAATAAAACAATTTTGGCATCATTATTATTACATATTTACAAATTTGCCCCAAACAAAAGTCATCTATGAATTATGAAACACTGGTTGTCTGAGGCGCCGCAATTTGCTGTGAAAAGTTACGTCCCTTGGGTGTGTCAGGAATTAACGCTCGTAGGTTCGAATCCCGTTTCGCAATGGTTCTAGGTTTCTGTGCACCCAACCCGCATTCGTGAGTTTCACCAAAGTTGTAAAAGTTTAAGACCTGCATCACTTCGTGCTTTTCCCTTACATCAACCAGACCTACAGTGTTATAACTGGTAAAGTTACATTCAAACTCGCTCACTCGCAGACACATTAAGTGCATCACGGAGCATCAGAGTAGATCAAGCTTGCCCTGACGTTATAACACTGTGTGGCAGTTTTCTCGGGATAAAACCTGCGGATTGGCCTATCACGCTCTCTGCCATGCGTGACCAGGTCATCATCAGGAGCTCCTATCTCTATATGTGTGTGTGTGTGTGTGTGTGTGTGTGTGTGTGTGTGTGTGTGTGTGTGTGTGTGTGTGTGTGTGTGTGTGTGTGTTCGGATGTCCACAACGAAGGGGTAAGATAACGTACGTATTATATACAAATCAAAAATCAATATCCCTAGCGGGACACTCGTTCAGCATGCACTCATCGATATTTGCATAGCATACCAGCGTTGCAGGACACGGTGACCTTAATGAATATGTACATACGGGTAGACGCGTTTGACTAAAAATAAATCGGTGCATTGTCTGTGCGGGTATTTTTCACTGGCTGTAACCCACCAAATGTAGGTAATGTAGTCCCGCTGTAGATATAAGCCCTTGATCCTAAAATAGCTCAAGCTGTCGAGTAACACAACAAGACGCCATTACCAACCCTGTCAAACGACAGGTAGGGCAGGTCTTAGAGCGAGCACCTTGTGTATGTTCGCCGTGTAATGTAAATGTGTGTCGAAGGTCTGAAAATAGCTTTACATCATTGAACAACACAGGGAGACGCCATTACAGTCCCCGTGAAAGGTAACACACGAAATCAAGATGGCTGCCGATTGTATTGGTGACTACCGGACACTAAAACTATTAGGAAAAGGACAGTTCGGGGAAGTGTATATGGGCGAACGCAGGACTGATAAGAAACGTTTCGCGCTGAAAAGTATATGTACTAAGTATGTGTTCCGGGGCATATCGATGGACAGGATTCTGAGAGAAGTGGAGTCTCACAAATCGCTCCCAAAGCATGAAAACATTCTGGATTTCATAGAAAGCATCAGTGTAGGTGGTTACTTGTACATAGTATTGGAGCTCTGTGAACTCGGGACCTTGGAGGACTATGTGACCCCGAAGAACCCGGACAGAGAAACGGCGTTGTCATTCATGGTCGACCTAGCACGAGGGTTGAACCATCTCCACAGCAATGGTATTGTTCACAGGGATATCAAGCCAGAAAACATTTTACTTGCCGAACAAGCACGCGGAGCACCAAGATGCAAGATATCGGACTTTGGTGTTGCAAGAATAATGGACATCCCATCGGCTGATTCCAAACTGGACGGTCGATTTGGCGCCATGGGTAGTTTAGCTGGCGAGGAGTACTTCAACACACTCTGCGGTACTCCTATCTACCTTGCACCAGAGGTAGGAGACAAACATTACACAAAACACTGTGACATTTTCTCCCTTGGAGTCGTCTTCTATGTGCTCTTTTCGCCGGAACGAACCAGAGAGGGACGGCTTTCGCCCTGGGTGAAAAACGGAACGCTTTTCTACGTAGCGTCAGATTATGACATTAAACAACAGATTGAGAAGCATGTACACGATGAAGGAATCTGTGAGTTGATTTTATCAATGCTGAAAACAGATTATCATTCTCGGATACCTGCCTCTGCCCTGGAGGAAGAACTTCTTCGCGTTGCTGTCCCCGATGATGAGGTGTTCTTCGTGGCGTGTTTCCTCGTGGCAGTGACTCTCATGTTTCTGATCTTCCCTGCACCATTATTCGTGTTAGCGCTGTTCCTGTTGACATTTGGATGTTGGCAGTTTGTTCCAAGAGGATTCTTCCGGGGCATATTGTGAATAACCTTGATACTGCAAAATTGTGTTTTTGGGGGTGGTGTTTGTTGTTTAACGCCACACTCAGCAATACTCAAGCTATATGACGGCGGTCTGTAAATAATCGAGTCTGGACAGGACAATACAGTGATTGACATCATAAGCATCGATCCACGCAATTGGGATACGATGACATACATCAACCAAGTCAGCGAGCCTGACCGTCCGATCCCGTTAGTCGCCTCTTACGACAAGTATAGTCGCCTTTTACGTCAAGTATGGGTTGCTGAGGACCTATTCTAACCTGGATCTTCACGGGTCGTGTTTTTACTATGTGTACACAGGGATATGGTTGTTTGCATTGTAGACATTGTAGACAAATGAATCAAGAATACTGTGTAGCATATATTCAGAGTTTGTGTGGAACGCGTGAGACGAATCTGGATAACCCGTTACTTTTTCCAATCGGTTGTAACTCCGGTCGATCATAATGGGATGTAATTCATGCTCTGTGTATTGTTATGTATACGTTCATTGTGGTGAGTATACAAGTGACAAATATAGATGTATCAATGTAAAACATGAAGAATATATAATATGTTATATATTACTTGCAAACATTACAGACCGCCGTCATATAGCTGGAAGATTGCTGAGTGTGGCGTTAAACAACAAACAAACAACCAAAAACTTGCAAACATCACAATTTCTTATCACATCTGGAATATTTTTATTGAAATAATTGATAATGATTAACGTAAATACAAGCTACAAAACCCTTTCCATATTCATATGAAATTTCCGATAAAAGTCCAATGTTAGATTCCGACAATATCACGAGCATGTGTTTATGAATCAGTATCAAATGGTAAATATGTCAAATAAGTCCCATGCTATAAAGCAACACATACAGGGTACATGTCATCACTAACGACAGCATGCACTAGGAGTGTAGTGATTTATCACAACAATACGTTTAAGCCAAACGTGATGGCAATATACCCATGGTATATTATTGTTTGATTGTGTGTAGTTTAACGCCGCACTCAGCAATATTCAAGCTATATGACAGCGGTCTGTAAATATTTGAGTCTGGACAAGACAATCCAGTGATTGACATCATGGGCATCGATCCACGCAATTGGATACGATGACATACATCAACAAAGTCAGCGAGCCTGACCACCCGAACCCATTAGTCGCCTCTTACGACAAGCATAGTTGCCTTCCACGGCAATCATGGGTTGCTGAAGACATATATTCTACCCCGGATCTTCACGGGCCCCATGGTATATTAAGATAGCAATATTTAACATCGATATGAAAATACAATGAAGAAATATGTCAATCATTAACTTTTCTATTGGTATTGGTAATAATAACGAGTCTAGATTATGCGCCGAAACAGATTCCATTTGGCCTACAGGCCAAAATAGCTGTGAAAATTATACGAATGGACCACTGAAAATCGGTGATGACACCATGTGGTCACGAAAAGGGTTAACATGTCCCGCTCTACCGGCAGCACCCGCCATTCACACAATTTGCATAAAAGTATTTATAGCCTGACACTGCACAGCTGTACTCATGCCATTCTCCCATACTGAAAGAGCTAGAGCATAAGAATATAACTAACTAGCTATGAGGAAATTACGGATCATATGTCCGTTACATATAGGTAATGTGTAGATCTGAGTTGTTCCATTGGTGGCCCAGTCGTCTGAGGCGCCGCGAGTCGCTGTGTAGAGTTGCGTCCCATGGGCACACCAGAAACCTATGATTGTGGTTTCGAATCCCGGTTCGCCCCGATTATGTTTCTAGGTTTGTCAATGTTGGTATGTCAACACCAAGTAATATGGTTTATGGAGAATGCGGGAGATTCCCATTGTACATTGGATCTTACACTCGTTGTTTGAAGTATTGGTGTAAAATAATAATAATGCCTGAACACCGTTTACCCAAGAAAGCCTACAACATGCTCGTACACCTCGACAATCTTGGAAAGAACACACGGGCTTCTTGTATTCGTACATTGCTTTTTACATATGGCTTTGGTTTCATTTGGCTGTCCCAGACAATTGGTAATGCAAATGCTTTCATTAAGTACTTTCGCATGCGTGCCATTGACATGTTTCATCAGAAATGGCATTCAGATATTTATGAAAGTTCAAGATATGATACTTATCGCCAATTCAAGTCATTGCTTGAACCAGAATCCTATTTATCAAATTTACGGTACAGGAATTCTCGTAACACCCTTATTCGTTTTAGACTTGGCCTGAATGATCTAAAAATTAACACAGGGAGATTTTCATCTATTGAGAAATCGATACGATTATGCCCATTTTGTGACATTGTTGTCGAAGATGAATACCATTTCATGTTTATTAGCCCTATATACGAAAATCTAAGAGACAAGTACTTACCGCAGTGGTCTCTATCTCATTTTAATGCTGAAAGATTGTCTTCATTACTGTCTTGCAAGGATCTTATAACACAACATCAACTGGCTATGTACATACATAATGCTTTTTTGTTACGAAGTGAATTGTTACCTTGACTTTGTATTTTATAAAATATGTTATGTAACTCCGTTGTATATGGGCCTGTGGCCTTTCATACAATAAAAGAATTGAATTGAATCCCGGTACGCCCCGATTATGTTTCTAGGTTTGTCAGCACCATACCCGTGCTCGTGGGTTTCACCGAAGTGGTGAACGTCTGAGACCTGCATCACTTTGGGCTTTCCTACCACATTAAACTGACACGCCGTGATATAACTGGAATACTGTTAAAAGCGGCGTTAAATACAACTCACTCCATTAGGTTATTCTATGTTACTCATTTCCATTTTATACAGGAAAATGAAGAACGAGGTTCTAAATGTCAACCCTACTATTTTTCAGGGCATTATCATTTACAGAAGCCCTCGGTCTTTTTTGGTGACATTGCCGCAATAGTGTTTTTAACTCTGAATAATTGTACAAATGTGCTCAATAGTCATCTCCAGTGTGTGTCTTCCATTAGCGAGTGTGGCCTTCGTCAGGCATTACAGAACGTCACAACACTTACAACGTTTCAGTTGTATTTATATCATATAAAAACATGTTGTGGAAGTTAATAAACTTGAAAATTGATTTTTGTTTTGTTTTTGCTTTGTCTCACAGGCGAATATCAGTGAAGACACGGGCGAGATGACAGCAACATAGATTGACGAGAGCATACTCCATTAATAACCGAATCGTATGTCAAATGGCAATAAAAGCAGCCAAATGTCAGCGACCCACTTACGCCATGATAACAATGAAGTAACAATGACCAGTCTCCATGCTTTACTTTCGTGTGCTTCATACTAGTCATACTTTCCACACAACTAATACATGGCGAGATAAGGGAAACAGCAGGGGGTTAAATGTCGCGTTCACGATTTTTGCACTAGACCACGGTGGCGACCAGGTAATAAATAGATCGCAATATCAGATCTTGTATCCAAGTGTGATTGAGATCTTGGTACTATTTAACATATGTTAAAATAGGAAAAAGCGCGGTTTGTTTGTTATTTCGCCGGATACAAACTTTCGTGTTCACTCCAAGATAATTGTATACATTATATTTTATACTTCCATGACAAGCTTAACGTACACAACTCGCATGACGACATATTCAGATTTTTTTTTTTTCTTATGATATATTCTTATTTAGTGTTTACACAGTTACACTGCATATTTCGACCATCAACACACATTAGCGTGGTTTCCGGGCGTCACACATAACCACTTACTTTATATATTTGTTTTGTTGGAAAGGTGCCAGCGACAGAATTGCCTGTCAGCTGTGATGTTATCACCTGATTTAAACCACCATTATTATCACCGTTATCAGTAAAGGGACAATTCGACAATTTCTATAGACATAACTTATCACTTGAGGGAGCGCGCGTATAACTTTTTTTTATAGAAATACAGCAGTTTATACATGGGCGTCGTCAGTTTTGTACTGTGTAGCTTTGCATGGAGTGTGATCCCTGCATCACATGAATCGCGATGGGCGGTACAGTGTAACCCAAGACTTCGTGTTGTTTTCAAGAATAATATAGATTAATGACATTAAGGCGGGTCACATGTAATGACATTAAAACATAGGATATTTGGCTCGGTTGTTGTTGGTTATTTTGTTGTTTAACGCCGCACTCAGCAATATTCCAGCTATATGACGACGGTCTGTAAATAATCGAGTCTGGACAAGACAATCCAGTGATTGATATTATGAGCATCGATCCATACAATTGGGATCGATGACATGCATCAACCAAGTCAGTGAGCCTGACCACCCGATCCCGTTAGTCGCCTCTTACGACAAGCATAGTCGCCTCTTTCGGCAAGCATGGGTTGCTGAAGGCCTATTCTACCCCGGTTCTTCACGGGTCTATTTTGCTCCGATCAAGAGCGAGGGAAAAACGTGAATTCTGACAAGCATTTTATGGCAAGCATGGGTTGCTGAAGAGATATTCTACCCCGTATCTTCACGGGGCTACTGAAGTAGTAGAAGTCTGCTAGACTTTGAACAGTATCGAGAAGCGAACAGAGCCCTGTAATATGTAGATTGTCGAAATTATGTCGACATTCACACTGAGCATTATAAGGTTGTCTTTGTGATATTTTGAGAAGCTGTCTTCAGATTCCAAAACTGGCTCCGATAGGAGATATCGATTGGGTGAGATCAAGCGATGTCTACATTGTAGATATGACATCATTAATGGCTCTGCTACTGAAGCTGTTAGCAGTACTTTTTACACTGAAGACACTGCTTGTTACTGTCTACAAACTGAAAAAGTTGGAAGAATGATGTTGGACGATGAATAAAATCTCACCCCCGTGTCTTTTGATATATAAAGTATCAACACTCGTTGATAAAAGTGGAGCCTCGGCAAGCCTCGGAGTTTTTTTCACTTTTATCAACTCGTGTTTATATATTTGATATCAAAAGATACTCGAGTGAGATTCTCTATTCATGAATTTATGTTTTGTATGTTATTATTACTATGGGGCGTTAGTAATTATTGGAATATGAATACCACAAACCTCCCACAATTACGCCCTCCATTTCGTTTTATCAAATAACAATACATTGTGTATTAAACGTACTTACATAGACAGCAGCTGTATTCATAATTGTTCCACGACTACCACTACTACTACTGCTACTACTACCGCCACCACTACTTCTCCTACTTCTACAACTACTAATATTAATGCTACAAATTCACTTATTGTCTTAGTCTCTGTAGTAGAATTCTACCCCATCCATGTGTTTCATTAAGATAAAGTTTTACCTGGCTAATGAAAACATATGTCTCACCTGGCCGAGGAGAATATGCACTCATTCATTGTTGAATCGTACACGTTTTTTACAATTTTTCATACAACCGACTTAAACAGTGCACATTGTAACATCAGACTCAGACAGGGTCGTCGGGTAGCCTAGTGGTTAAAGCGTTCGCTTGTCATGCCGAAGACCCGGGTTCGACTCCAGACATGGGTACAATGTGTGAAGCCCATTTCTGGTGTCCCCCGCCGTGATATTGCTGGAATATTGCTAAAATCACTCAATCACTCAATCACGCACCTCGAAACCATTGTATCCTTTTTGTATTTGCACAGCGCGTCAGTGATCGCTTGAGGTTAAACTTTCTTTGCCGGGCCACCATGCTCCAGTAATCGCCGGGGCGGTCGGGTAGCCTAGTGGTTAAAGCGTTCGCTCGTCACGCGGAAGACCCGGGTTCGAATCCCGACATGGGTACAATGTGTGAAGCCCATTTCTGGTGTCCCCCGCCGTGATATTGCTGGGATATTGCTTAAAGCTCCAGTTATCGCCAGTACACGGATTGGAGGAACTCTCTGAATCTCATCTCTTGTCTGTAATTGTCTCGTGCAAATCTAACCCATAAACACCAGACTTGGCTGTCAGAGAATGTAGAGAGTCATTTAGAGTGATGTACCGGTCCACGTAGCTCGTCCCATGCCCATAAAATAGACATAAAGTAACATCAATAAACATGGCGGACATCCTGAATACCGATCATAAACATACCCATGATGGTAGATACACTAATGAGAGGGAGCGAGTATGGTTTTACGCCACCATTAACATTATTCCAACTATTCCTCGCCGTGTGACACCAGAAAAAGGCTCGCGCATTGTGCCCATGTGGGAATCGCACCAGGGCCCCACAGCCCCAATGATAAGCACTTAATAGCCACGGTAAAACCCATCTTCAGTAATAGTGAGTAAGTGAGTGAGTATGGTTTTACGCCGCTTTTAGCAATATCACGGCGGGGGACACCAGAAATGGGCTTCACACATTGTACCCATGTCGAGAATCGAACCCAGGTCTTCGGCGTGACGAGCGAACGCTTTAACCACTAGGCTACCCGTCCGCCCCCCATCTTAAGTAATAAGAATTGATAGATATATATAAAAATACGCTACATTGAAAATGATATTTCTTTAATTAATTCGGTGGTATATTTCACATTATTAATTTCAAATCGTTATTCATTAATCATAATCATTCTCTGACAGAACATCTAATAAAAAAAAATTCAATATTAGTGTTAGAAACATTCGTGGATGATACACCACGACCAGTTTGAATCTGAGCGTATAATGGATTAAATAGGTGTGGTGCACACTGACAGCCCGCATCCTGCACATCTCCACATCACGTAGGGATAGGCAAATAGCATCCCACTGTGATTGTAACCAATTACATCGTAGCAGGACACGATGGAGACAAGGACCTGAGCATTAGGTAAACACTTGTACATTCTGATGGGACGATGAGAGGAAATATATTGATAAGAGTGAGTGAGTGATTTGTGTTTAACGTCAATTTTAGCTATATTCCAGCAATATCACGGCGGGGGACACCAGAATTGAGTTCCACACTGTACCCATGTTGGGTAATAATAATAATAATAATGATGATGATGATGATGATAATCATAATAATAATAATAATAATAATAAGAGGGAGGATCAGTTTACTTGGAGGAGGAGTTATTGACCATCTCGTGGAAGGTCAGGCCTATACGTACTTAGGGATGCAGATTAGGGACAAACTCCAGAATGCCCATATCAAGGAAAAACTTCGGGCAGAGTACAAATATAGACTTAAGAAAATCTGGAGTTCAGAGCTGAACGCTCGCAATTAAGTCAAAGCCAAAAATACGTATGCTGTGCCCGTCCTTTCATATTCTTTTGGTGTTGTTGATTGGACGAAACAAGAAATTCAGGGTATTGACACCCTCAAACGAAGAATCATGTCAGACAATAGATCCCACCACCCTCGCTCTTCCCTCAATCGCTTATATTTACCAATTATGATGGGAGGACGTAGTTTGATTAACGTTGGGGCTTTTCACGATAGAATTGTTTTGTGCACTTTTGCACACATTTATTTGTCTGATGATCCTCTTGTGAAGCATGTCAGGACTCATGATGAAAACAAGGCATTCCACAGTCTTCTAAACGAGCTAAGGATGGGGGACATAATCTCAATGTCGGTGTTGATTTTGTTAATGGTTCTGTACTGCTGGACGGTACAGAAATGAGTGTCAACCTAGCGAAGTGCCATATCAAATCGACCCAGACTAAGTTTTTCAAGGAGAGGCTTTCTAAACGACCACTGCATCGAGTGTATGTGCAGTGTGTTGAGAAGATCAGCAATCCTGCAGAGTCCTTCGCTTGGATGAAGTCGTCTGGCCTGAAAAGTGAAACAGAAGGCTTTCTGTTTGCTGCTCAGGACCAGTCACTTCCAATACAGGAATACAGGCCTTCTATCAATCTGGGTAATGCAGAAGGCTGCAGTGTTGGGGAGTCTTTACATTCTCCGAAAAGTTCCAGGTGGGTTTGACTAGGCAGCGCTTCCTGGGAAAAGTCCCATTCGCTGTCTGGGCTGCGTGTAGAGGGGCAAGGGCCCTTAGCTGATGATGAGCCTAACCAGCCTGACTATGCCAGGATCACCCAGACCCTCTTTGCTGCATTTTTAATTTAATGTGTAAATCATTATAATCATAATCATAATATTATCATCATCATCATAAGCATCATAAGCATATTCATCATCATAATAATTATAATAATAATAGATAATAATAATAATTATAATTCATAATAATAATAATCCCTTATTAATAATAAGGGAATGGACTGACTATGAAGATGCCCTGCTTTTATTTCTCTTAGAAACCAACTGGCAAAAATGAAGGTTTATTCGAATATGTAAAACTCTGCACTCATATATCTATATAGCCCGGAGGCCTTAAATGACACACATTGACCATTAAATGGCCTTCACATTGACTTTGACTGAAAGGCGTTATGCGTAGTCACTGCCGTCTTTACTGTGCATAATTGTGTATAACGGACTCAGTCATTCTGACGTTAGGGGCCGACCATTTGACATGCCCGTAGCACCCGCCACTCTCAAAATTTGCATTAAAAAAGAGTGTGTTGGTTGCCGCACAGCATAGCTCTGCCATGTGACAACGGCATGTGCACAAACCAGGCAATCAAGTGATGGACCAGATAGTGATATATGTTTGCATAATACCGACATTTGCGTATTTAATTTGTCTAGTGATAAGATTGGACATGTCATAGCTCGCGGTGATACCAATTAAGGAGAACAAGATTTAAGTGCTTACAAATCTCAATGTTACAACGTACAAGGAAATAAACACATGTGGGTTCCACGTCACTTAAAAATGACTCATGTTTTATAGAAATACGCAGCATCAACACAGCTTGAAAACTCACAAAAGCTATTCTGTTGAAATCCTATTAAATCAAACAAGAAACGCAGCCAGTTGAATATTTTATATTTTTATAAAGAAGAAAATACATGACTCAGACTCGAATGATGCGTGTGGTGTGTGACCAGAGTACGTCTACATGTGTTGCCGTATAAATCAATATTGATTCAAGTAGTGTGTATCGACTACATTCAGTAGAGCAATAAGCCCGCACAGCTCCGTATGTGGGTCTTTACCTACAGTGATGATCCAAACCTAAGCCTTGCCATCTACTTAACATAGTTCTGACACGACCACGACGACAGCTAGTACATGACATTGTATCAGCAATCTACAGCTGATCTCATTGATGACAAAGGACCGACCGGTTTCGCCAGATGACTCATCGGCCTGCCTTTAATGTTTGAGAGAAGGCAAGTAGGCCACAGCCAGCGCTGAGTGCGGCATCCAGCGTACGCTCCCTTTCGACCCGTTCTGCTTACAACGCCTGGTTGGCCATGTGAGGACGCGTTTTCTAACTACTCGAAGCGAGGACTGATTTCTGACGACTCGTAGCATTCAGGTTGAGGGATAGCCCAGCGATATAAATAGGCCAATGCTTCGCCAATGAACGAGGCTGACGGAGCAACGGAGTGTACATGACGTGTTGGATATTTGTCCTCATTTTTTGTTTGGTCTCCTGTGATATATACTAGGCTGACGCGGATGTTAAAGGTTATATCATAGCAGAGAGATCAAGACGTTGTTTTCAGCTTGTGGCTTTCTATATGGGACTGGTGCGAGACCCTCTCTGGACTGTTCGTCAACTCAACATGTATCCGGATCGAATTGGGGATTATAAGATCCTTTCGACCCTCGGAACGGGCACTTTCGGAGATGTGTACAGAGTGGAGAAAGGGGGATACGAATATGCCATGAAGGATATTGTGATTGGTGCCAAAGTTGATAATTTGATTCTTCAAATGGAGGTAGATTCTCACAAATCGATACCAAAGCATGATAATATTGTTGAGTTTATTGATTCTTTCAAATCAAAGTATAACTGGTACATTGTTCTAGAATACTGCGCACTTGGGACACTTGAGGACTATGTCATAGCCCATCGTCCAGACAAAGACTTCGCGACGTCGTTCATGTTGGACATGGCTCGAGGTCTTCACCATCTGCACAGCAACAACATCGTTCACAGGGATATTAAACCTGAGAATATCTTGATGGTAAAAGGACCATATGGAATTCCAAGATGTAAGATTTCGGACTTTGGTGTGGCAAGGTTTGGAACAGTTGAATCTGATCCCGGACTCAACAATGGGGCCGTTCAGGAGGAGCGCTATTTCCAGTCACTGTGCGGAACACCGTATTTCCTAGCGCCGGAGGTGAAAAATAGACAGTACACAAGATCCTGCGATGTTTTCTCACTCGGAATAGTGTTTTATTTGCTGTTTTCAAAGGATTCGTCTTCTGGCAAACGTTTGACTCCATGGGCAAAAGGGGGAACGCCCTTCTACAGGGCGACAGACACTCAAATCAAAGACCAGCTGAAGGTTCACGTACACGATGTAACCATATACACACTGATTGAATCTATGTTACTGATAGATTTCCACAATCGCGTGACAGCGAAAGCTCTTGTGGGCCACCTCATGGCTCTAGAGGTTCCAGATGATGAGGTGTTTATTGCTGCATGGGTTCTTGTTGCCGTTTTGGCCATGCTGGCAATATTCCCGTTCCCACTGTTCGTGTTGACTGTGGTCGTTCTGTTGCTTGCTTGCTGGGAGTTTCTACCGAGAAGTACCTTCAGATAGGTATCTCCGTTCTCGGGAGGATAATCAGTGTTTCAAATGGATATAAATTGTGCTTACTGCGTTGCATTATACCAGTGACAGCATTGATGCAAGTACTTTGAATCACCTCGGATGTATAATGAATGTTCAAAACGTGCTTATAGGTTGGTCTGCACATACGGTGCTCGTGGGTTTCACCAAAGTGGAAATCGTCTTGCATAACTTCAGGCTTCCTTCGCTCATCAACCTGACACGCCGTGATATGACGAGACACTGTCTAAAGCGGCGTGAAACCAAATTCACTCAGTCACAAATCAATCCGTGGGATAAACCAAAAGAACTGTGTGTATTGGTATGAGATCTTCCTCAAAAATGAATATATATATATATGATGTATGGATATCTATGAATCGGTGGCGACAAATATATGGTTTATGAACGTGCTTTTGCATACCATTATATTATAAACATTACATTTGATATTGACTATTACAAATGCTTCACTATATACATTGAAACGAAATGGCAATGAATACGTAAATGTTTATCAAGTATTACATCATGACCATGTTATATTGTATTATTCAGAATATTATATGCGACACGTGAGACATCTATGACTCACGAAATATGGCCAAATTAAAATGTTGATATGATCATTTCTATGTTATGAAAGGTTTGTGAACATTTATCGTGTATAATGAACGTCTGATACCAGATACCATTCTTATCGACATCTACATCCAACATACATGAAAGGCAGGGCAATGAAAGGGACGGGCACACCTGAACAGATTCTCCTTCGTCATTATGGCACTATCTACTGTAAGGCAATATCCCCAATATGAAGAGGCGTGTAAGCATAGCGTGACAAATGGTTCTTATGGAATGCAGACAGCGTTTCATTACATTAGACCTAGTATACACGCTATGTATTGCAGCGCTCTAAATCGTCAATCAATGTACACGACGTTGCCTTGCCAAGGAGCCATGTCATTCTCGAAATTGTCAGCACGCCTAGATATGAGAAGGGATGTTGGAATGAATAATGGGTGTATTTGGTATTGTGAAATAGACTGTCCTTTATGTGTCATGAAATATAGGTGAGCCATGTTTTATAATGATATAGGATGTATGGTCGGTGTATGAGCGCTCGGCTTGACGTCCGCTCATACAATGCCTTTGCGGAGTTTAAGTTTGCGGAGGAAGTTTAACGTATCATAGAGATTAAACCTATGAAATACGTTTAACAGTTATGTTATACAAACCAAACATCATGTAAAGTCTATCTGAAAATAGAAAATATTTTTTTTAATTTTGGCAATACAAAAAACGACATATTATCAGTACTAAAAAAACAATAGCTATGCGTACCCCCCTCCCCCAAAGTCATCAAAACATCAACTACATAGTCAATTTACATATATTAACTTTGCGTCGTAGCATATATACCGATTAATTATTTTTTAATTTTGTTTTATCACATTTCATTACTTAAAAAGTTTGGACTGACAATAACACAAAGCATTGATGCACGAAGGGCAACCATCATCAATATTTATAAGCCGAAATCAAGATTATCGAAGTCCTTAAATATGACTCCGGTCCAGACTTGATTATTTTACAGACCGCCGTCATATAGCTGGAATATTGCTGAGTGCGGCGTAAAACAACAAACCAACCAACCAACCACACCTAAATGTTAGTAGTCATCTCGAGGCAAAATTGTAGATGAAACATTCTAAATTTGGACACAAGTTCCACTTGTGTGTTGTCTCTTTTGGCAATAGTAGTTAATGACCTCGACACGGTGACGATGCTGTTTGAACAGCTGGGCACATATACTGTTCTATTAACAGTAAATCAACTGCCGAATGTTTGGCAGTAGTTAACACTACGAATTAGCATCCCTGATTATTATTCCAACTGCTATATATGTCTTTAATGTCTGCACACCTGTCGATTGTCGATCACATATCCTATCTATATTCATTTCCAATATCTTTTTCTTATTAGTGGTATATCTCAGAAAAACACCTTCTGAAAAGTGGGGTGTGGGGAACGTCCTTCTTTAAGCGGGGAATTGTCCATGTCTGAATCCCATTGTCTCCTGTCAATCAACAATATTTCCCGTTATCATGACGTCTTTATGCGTATAATCATCATCGCTATTGTGACGTCATGAGTGAATTGTTCTAAAACTCATGTCTATACCTATGTCATGTGCGCAAGCATTTAAATTCATTTCAATTTCAAATATTTATATACATTGATGTATGATAAACATGATATGTCTACAAATTCTGCATATTCAATATATACAAGTTAACAGGTATTTAATATCTCAGTGAGAGGCAGTATCATAGGAACAGACTGCCATGTCTACCACCTACCTCAACTGCATATTTCTCAAAATAGGAATCAATTTCTGTACATTCTAAACTTTAACCCTACACTGTATACCTTGTGGTATTTCAACTAAATTTGGGTCTGTCCTCAACGTGTGATGATTTGTCTAGAAGCCGATCGAAGAAGGCTTGGATAAGAAAGGTTGGTTGGTTGGTTGATTGGTTGATTAACGCCGCACTCAGCAATATTCCAGCTATTTCACGGCGGTCTGTAAATAATGAAGTCTGGACCAGAAAATCCAGTGATTGACATCATGAGCATCGATCCACGCAATTGGGATCGATGACATGCATCAACCAAGTCAGCGAGCCTGACCACACGATCCAGTTAGTCGCCTCTTACGACAAGCATAGTCGCCTTTTACGGCAAGCATGGGTTGCTGAAGACCTATTCTACCCAGGATCTTCACGGGTCTGGATAGGAAAGGAGCAATGTTGATGCATATATTCACATATGGTGATTTCACTGTGAATGTTAATTTGATCTCGGTTATCCGCCGAACAGATTCCGCTGGGTTCAAAAGGCAAAAGAGCGACAAACTCCAGCATTCGCTAACTACGTCAGGGCATTCAGGTGTGACAGACGTTCTCCTGTGATAATGTTTTGTCGTTGTGGAGGATAAGGAAGAACATCAAAGTGAGGTGGATGAAACCATGAGTCATGCTGAACGCACGACGTAACGTGTAACACTCCATACACCGTTGTCAGCAAGCGAGGCGTACTTTTATGGTGAATTTATGACCCGCGTCCTGGGTTTAGTCTCGTGTCATGGTAACTGACATTTGCATTCAGCATGAATCCATATTCCCACAGAGATGTGGATCATCTTCATGTGATGGTGACGGCTGGGAACAAGGACGTTCAAGGTCAGACTAATGTGGTGCACACGTACAGGTACACACAAACACATTTACACACACACACACACACACACACACACACACACACACACTTACACACACACACACACACACACACACACACACACACACACACACACACACACACACACACACACACACACACACTTACACACACATATTTACACACACATAAACACACACATATTTACACACACACACACGCACGTGAACAAAATTTGGCTACATTTACATACATATAGGTATAAACTTAGAGAGAGAGAGTAGGGGGGTGAGATTGAACACAGTTTTAATTGGCTAGCGCTTTCAACCCGTAACGAGCGCTTTTGGCGCGTATTTATGAATGAAATGTTGCTCTTTTTGAAATAAAGTAGGTTCATGATCAAAATTTAGCTATTAAAGCGGGAAAACTAAAAAGTTGTCGCTTCCACAGGTATCTAAATGTGGAATCGTGCGGTTGTGTGGCTGCTTTGTGAACGGTGAAGATTCATTCTTCTTTTTAATTTAAGTTCTGTCTTTCCTACATACTTTTCATTGCATCCACTACAAACAATCAAGTAAATAACATTTCTAGTATCACAAGTCATATTTTGTTTTACAGTAAATTTAGTGTCCTTTGTAATTTGTCTGAACAGCCTTCAATTATATTGCTGCAAGTTAGGCAACGTTTGTCACCGCACTTAGAAACCTGTGGAGTGATGACAACAGAATCAAATTTAGAACTTGTCAAAATCTTTCTTTGATTTGGGGGTTGTCTTTGGCTGTTAATAATTTTGTATTTGCTCAATATCTTTAATACTTTGATTCAAAATAGGCAGGTGCCGTTGAACCATGGACAATGTTTTTTTTTCATGCTTAGGGTTGAAGGTAGATACTAGAGTTAAATTATTCCCAACATCGTTTTCTTTAGACTTTTCTCTCAGTTTTGGTGGCTCAATACTAAGTGCCTTCTGTATGCTATCTTCAGTTAGCTTTGCGGGATAACTTTATGTAATAGGAAGCTCTTAAGTACAGCAAGGCGGATAGTTTTAACACAAACACACAAACATTCAAAAGTACCAGATAAAAGTTACAAATTTGTTACATAATTCACAGTATTTCAAAGTCACATAATTCAAAGTTCAAAGTTCAATGTTTCTTGTGCAGTCTGATATTCCAACCAACTCATTGCAGAAATTGCACAACAGATTAAATGTTTTGAAGATGAACAAACTTTCCCTTCACCATCTTCACAGGTCCACCAGAATCTAGTGCTAGGACAGTGGCGACGGTGGCATTTCCGTTCTGCACACTACACGGTAGGGTGGTGCTTGCCAACACGGTTGAACAAATTGTTTTTTCGCCCTTCACCCTTCAAGTTTTTTAGGCTCTTCGAAATATATATTATGATGATGATGATTATCATGATAATGATGTACACAGAGTTAAAAAAAAATGCAGCAAAGAGGGTTTGGGTGGTCCTGGCACAGTCAGGCTGGTTAGTCTCATCATCAGCTCCAATGCCTTCTCCCAGGAAGCACTGCCTAGTCAAACCCACTCAGAACTTTTCGGAGAATTTGAAGACTCCCCAACACTGCAGCCTTCTGCATTACCCACATTAACAGAAGGGCTGTATTCCTGGCAGCAAACCCGGGGACTCTCCCAATGTCAGTCAACAGATTAGGAGGTACCAAACCTAAGGCACCGAGAACAATGGGGAGTCGGACAACTTGGTACTTTGGATGCAAGCCTGACATTTCAAAAGCGAAGTTCGCAAATGTTTTTCCTGAATCTTGTCAATCACATTAGTGTGAAAAGGGACAGAAAATTCAATGTTTTTATTTATCAAAAAGGTTTGCAAGCTGGATAGGTCTGAGGATGTACACGGACCTATTCAAAAGAATTTTAAAATTATCATATTCCATGACGCCCTCTTTATATTCTGGGTCTTACTATGGATGGAACTCTGTGTCAAAACCACAAGTATAGGAAGAGATACTGTGTTTGTGTTTGTGCCAAAGCTGGGCCGTGTCATGTGATCCCAAGATTATACATGTTGATGCTTGCTACATCACATAATACATGTCGTATTCAAATAGAATTTAATTGTTTGACATATAAACACACATTTCCTTACATAACCGATTATAAACTTATAGTAGCATAATGAAAGGCATAAATATGAGCTTACAATCAGAACTTGAGGACCGCTACCTCTCTCACGGAGTTCAACAGTCCATAACACACTACACAATGTATTTCCATAGCGTTAATACACCGATTTACTAAAGACGTTCACTAAGCCGCCGTGCCCATGCATTTAACAGCTGATCGTTGTCATAACCATTGATCGTATTCACGTCAACGTCAGTAAGTAAGTAGGGGTTAAG